CAGGCACAGCTGAACTCCCCTCCCAGCAGCCAGGGCTGCACTGCTGCTCCCTGACAGCTCAGCTGGGAGGGCAGCGAACAAAAACTCCATGTGCACTTGGCAGGAGAACAAGAGATGCCTTTTTTCCTTCCCCCCACGATGGGTGGTTGCTCTTTTGTAAACAGACAACAGACATCAGTTCAATCTCCTTCTCATAGACTGGTTCTAAGTGCCCAAAGAGACCCGAAAGCTCTGTCAGAATCGACTGGAAGTTCTTGTGTCCCCAGTGCAGCTCTGCCAGGGCACCCTCTGCATCTCACAGGCACACTGGGATGTTCCAAGGATGTTGGAAAACCTGAACTACATGCACAGCAGGTGTGATCCAGTGGGAATCATGGAATGATTTGGGTTGGAAGGGATTTTAAGGATCATCTCATCCCAGCCCCTGCCACGGGCAGGGACACCTTCCACCAGCACAGGGTGCTCCAAGCCCCGTCCAACCTGGTCTGGGACACTTCCAGGGATCCAGGGGCAGCCACAGCTTCTCTGGGCAACCTGTGCCAGGGCCTGCCCACCCTCACAGCCAGCAATTCCTTCCCAATATCCCATCTGTCCCTGCCCTCTGGCAGTCTGGATTGTTTCACAGGCATATTTAACTGCTGTAATAATATTCCCAGTTCTGTGTGAAGCACAGAAAGCCAAGTGCTCCAGAGGAGCACTTGCTCCAGAGAGGTCCCCCCCATTCCAGGGGTCTCCCCAGGACCCCTCCTTCAGGAGCCATATCTACTCTGTGTACTTTGAAAGTTTATTAATAACTATTTCCTACAAACTGTGCATTTACACAGAGCAAGTCAAACTGCATCTTAAGGTGGTGCAAGGATAACCCCCCACCCAGTTATGAACAGTCACAGGATCCCAGAATCAGTTAGGCTGGAAAAGCCCCCTGAGATCATCCAGTCCAGCCCTTGACCCATCACCAGCTTGACAACCAGACCATGGCAGGAAGTGCTGCCACTGATTCATTCCATCACCTTAGAAACCACACATGGAAAAGGCAATCAGAACACCCAGCACACAGGAGTTCAGTACATTTGATCAGAGAAAGGCAGCCCAGGAAGGTGCTGTGTCAGTTAAGATTTCTGCACTTTGCCTGATTGCAATGAAGGGAATGTCGGAAAAATGCACCTTTTGCATCAAAAACAGAATTAAAAAAAACAAACAAACAAACCAACCCTTCCTTCCTGAGGATGACTGAGGAGACCTCTCTTCACTGCTCCCCACACAGAGTTATTTAATTTCTGTTAAATCAAGTTTTCTGTTCTGCTCAGGAAGCTGATGCTCCAAAGGAGACAGACCATGCACCGTTTGCACAGGAGGGATTAGTTCCTAATTCCTGATCTTAAATGCTTTTCTACAACTAAAACTGCCATTCCTCCATCAGGAGCCTGCCCACCTGCAGCCCTGCCACACACACCGAGCTGAGATTCACTCCAGACAGGTGGATTCACTGGCCACCTCCACGTGCCCTCCAGAACCACCCAGCTCGTGTTGGCTGCACGAAGGACCAGCAAACACTGCTATAAATACTTCCATCTGCAGTGAAAACACCAGGACATGCCTGTAATGACAATGCCAGCCAAAAATAACCAGGGGGATCTGGTATGCCGTTTCTGAACTTTGCCAAGTGCTCTTTTCAAAGAGGGCAGCTCCTTGTGCCGCAGATCAGACAGAGGGTCCAGCAGTCCCAGCGAGGTTTTCAGTGCACGAGCCATTTATCAGCAGCTCCCAGCCTGGCCCCCCGTTCTGACTGCCCACCACACCCCCCAATTTCATGCTCGGCAAGTAAAAACAAAGCCAAGTTGCCGTGGAGGGGCCATCCCAAGTTCAGCAGCTGGGAAACAACAGCCAGGGGCAGCCAGAGCTCCCAGCACTCACCGGGGGCTCGGGAATGCTGGACCATTTCTGTGGCAAAGGGAAGGCAAAAATCCCAGCTCTCTCTGCTTCCAAGCAGGTCAGTGCTGAGCCAGCCCCAAAACAAACCTGCTGCTGGTTTACCTGCTCCATCAGCAAAGAATCATAAATGGGTTGGGTTGGGAGGGACCTCAAAGTCCATCCAGCCCCACCCCTGCCACGGGCAGGGACACCTTCCACCAGCCCAGGGTGCTCCAAGCCCCGTCCAACCTGGCCTTGGACACTTCCAGGGATCCAGGGGCAGCCACAGCTTCTCTGCCCAACCTGTGCCAGGGCCTGCCCACCCTCTCAGGGAAGGATTTCTGACAGGAAACTCCCCTCATGTTGGTCTCCCCACTCCTCAACCCATTGCTTGTGTTTCCCTTAACTTTATTTTTCCTTTCTTCCTCCAAACATTTCCATTCCTACTTTCCCTGCTGTTATCCAATAAAAGCTACAATTACAATCCCTGACTACAGGACAAAGAGAGGCCAGAAAAGGCCATTCAGCATCATAATTTAAGAATTATTTCATTGCTGGATTCACATTCTTTCGTGAACCCAAATCTCTCCTAACTGCACGATTAGAAGGATTAAGGAAAGGGCACCCAACAGCAGCAAGAGCCAGAACAGGCCCTGCAGGTCGTGGCTTTGAGACTCCAATTCTTCCTTCATCTGAGAACCAGCACATAAAGGAAAATTATCACGCAAGCCCAGCTTGTATGAGAGGATCTCATCTGGAATGAAAGACACTGGGACATTATAGAGGGAACCCAGGAGCTGAAAGAATTGAGTGTGGTCTGTGGAGCACGAGAGCAGAGAGAGCTGCCCACTCAGCTCCCGGGAATTGTGAGCCTCAGACACTGGGGAAACTGTTCGGGAACGGCTCGTCTGCACCAACCGTGACCCCTGTCACGCTGCCAGGGCCAGGAGCACACGGGGCTGGGATGGTGGGAATGCCAGGATGGCTGGGAATGCCAGGATCCAGACACGGCTGGGGCACAGGGAACATAACAGTGCAGCTCTTCCCTGTCCCTGCACGCTGGGATGGGATCAGGAACCTGCCCACCCCTGCTCCTGGGAGGGCAGTGTAGGCACAGGGAACACTCCTGTGCCCCCCAAACCCCACACTGGGCTGGGGGCACTGGGGGAGCCTGCAATGAGATTCTGGAAGGTTGTGAAGTTCACAGAATGCTGGAGTGTCCCAAGCTGGGAGGGACTCCCAAGGATCATCCAGTCCCAGCCCTGGCCCTGCCCAGGACACCCCAACACTCCCCCCTGTCCCTCAGAGCGTTGCCCAAACGCTCCTGGAGCTCTGGCAGCCTTGGGGCCGTGCCCACTGCCCTGGGGAGCCTGGGCAGTGCCAACCACCCTCTGGGGGAAGAACCTTGTGCTGAGCTCCAACCTGAGCTGGAATGCTGCTGGTTGTACGAACAGGAATTATTTACAAACAATGCTCCCTGTTGATCCATGGAAGTGTTTTCCCTTCACTCCTCAGAGAAAAGCAGAATTCACAGAAAACCTTTTCTACACTCAGACCCCACGTCTCTCCCCAGCTGAAGCAGCAGCTGGACCAGAACAGAAGATATCCACAGGGAATGTCCTCCACAAACCTGTCTGCTCAGCAGAGGGACACGGGAGACAGAAACACAGTCATGCACTGGCTCCCTTTTCCCTGCAACACTCCCTGACAGCATTCCCTCCTTTCCCTGTGCCCTTTTCCAAGCCACGGCAATCCTCAGGGATGGCATTTCTTAGGAATGGCACTCCTCAAGGATGGCATTCCCAATGGATGGCACTCTTAAGGGATAACATTCCTAAAGGATGGCACTCCAAGGGGACAGCATTCCCAGTAGCACTCCAAAGGGATGGGATTCCCAATGAATGGCACTCCAAAGGGGTGGCGTTTCTAAGGGATGGTATTCCCAACGAATGGCACTGCTCAGGAACGGCATTCCCAATGGCCAGCAGTCCCAACTGATGCCACTCCCAATGGATGGCACTCCAAGGGGATAGCATTCCCAATCAATGGCACCCCAAGGGGATAGCGTTCCCAATGGACAGCGTTCCCAATGGACAGCATTCCCAATCAATGGCACTCCCAATGGACTGCACTCCCACAGACCGGCACTGCCGTTGCCCGGCTGGGGGCGCTGGGAGCGCAGTGAGGGTGACCGGGGCCGGCGCTCCCGCCCGCGGTGCCGACCCCGGAGAGCCCCGGGAGCGGCGGGAGGGTCCGGCCCGGCCCCGAGCGAGGCTGCGGCGGCGCTGTCCCCCCGCCAGCCCCGGGCGAACCCCGCTGCCCGCGGCCCTGCCCGCCGCCCCCGCCCCGCCGGGCCGTACCTCAGGTCTGGGCGGGCGCTGCTCGCGGGGCCCGCGGGGCCGGAGCGGCCGGAGCCGCCCCCGCCGGACGCGCCATCGCCGCCCTCGGCCTGTCTGAGCTGGCCGGCCCCGCGCGGCCGCCGTACTGACGCGCGCGCCCCGCCCCGCCTGACGGGCAGGGCGCGGGGCCAATAAGGAAAGGGGGAACGCCGTAGTCCCGCCCCCTTCGGCCAATGGCGGCGCTGTGCCTGCCGCCCGCCCCCACGCTGACGGGCAGGCGCAATGTCCAATCCAAGAGCGGTAGAGTAGAATGGTCCCGCCCCCTGAGGCCAATCGGGACTCTGATAGGCCCTCCGCCCACGCCCCCGGAGTGACGGACGGGTCGCGTAGCCAATCAAAGACCGGGAAAGCGACAGAGCCTCGCCTCTTCCGGCCAATCACGGCTCTGCCAGACTGAGGGAGCAGCGCTCGAGGAGCGGAGGGAGCGGCCGGGCCTCACCTGGCCGGCTGCGGGCGGCACCTTCTTTTGGCACACAGCGGTAGCTCCTGACCTAATCCCAGGTCTCTCCCTCTCCACAGCGCTGCCCCTGAGGCCGTGCAGGCGGCACCGCCGGGCGCCTCCCGCTTCCTCCCTCGGGATGAGCGACAGCCGCGCTGGCCAATCGCGACAAGGCGCTCGCGCCGAACTGCGGCCGCCACAGCCAATCGGGATCGCCCGTGGGGCCGCCGCGGGCTCTGATTGGGCGGGGGGCGGTGCTTGGGTGCGAGGCGGAAGTGACGGCGCGTCATGGCAACCGCGGGCGCTCCGGGTTCCCGCGGGTCCCGCACCCTGAGGGGCGGCCCCGGGGCCCTGTCCTCGTGAACGCGGGGTACTGCGGTCTCTGTCCTTTCCCAAAGGCTCCTGTGCGCTGAGCACGCCCCACGCCGGGCTGGCAGAGCAGCCCAGGGGCCGGCGCTGTGGTTTGCGGTGCGGTCACACGGAGGGGTCCCCTCGGTCCTGCTCGGGCTGTGTTGGCCTTTGCAGCGCCCGGGGCTGATTCGGGTGGCAGAGAGCCCATCGACTGCCGGGGGCATTCCTGTGTGCCACGAACTGCCTTTACACCTGAAGGAGCTCTCCAGGAGAGATGGAGGGGGCTGCGGGGACAGCGCGGGGGGAATGGCTTCCCACTGAGAGAGGGGACATCTGGATGGGAGATTGGGAAGGAATCCTTCCCTGAGAGGGTGGGCAGGCCCTGGCACAGCTTGCCCAGAGAAGCTGTGGCTGCCCCTGGATCCCTGGAAGTGTCCCAGGCCAGGTTGGACGGGGCTTGGAGCACGCTGTGCTGGTGGAAGGTGTCCCTGCCCATGGCAGGGGTGGCACTGGATGGGCTTTGAGGTCCCTCCCAGCCCAAACCAGTCTGGGATTCTGGGATCCTCAGCCCGGAGGGTTTTTGTTATTCCACAAAACCTGTTGCAGGTGACCCCACGTGTTGCCTCCTGTGCTGATCTGGTTTAGAACTTCTGAATGACAAGGACTCCAATTGCCTGCAAACAGTTGCTGTTGTTCTTGGGGAGTGACTGGAGTTATTTAATTTAATGAGGCTTTAATGCCCTGTTTGCTCTCTGGACGTTCAGACCTCACAGTTTGGTCTCTGTGTTTGTTCAGGTCGCTATGAAGGCCTTGTTTGGGCAGCAGAACTCCCCTGGAGAGGAGATGACTTTCGTGTTCCAGGAGAGAGTGAGTTCCCATCACAACAGCTCCCTTAATCAGGCAGAGGGAGGGGGGAGTTGGGCTGGATGCCACCAAGCACTTCCATCTCCTGGAGGCTGGAAAAGGAACTGGCAGAACCCCTGCACACACAGACAGGGCACTGGAGGGAGGAGAGGGGTATTTGGTCATCAGGCAGCACTTGCCAAGCACTGGATTTCTCTGTCCAGACTTTGAAAACGAGCTTTGCAGGCCTGAAAAATGCACCCTGGCCCCACCTGGGACCCACCCAACCCCTGGGTGGATTTTCTGGTCACTGGAAAAGCAGGAACAGAGCTTGAGAAAATGATCAGGTTTGGGGTGTTACTGCTGGTGTTGCCTTTCCTCTTGGGAGTTCCTGGCTCTCAGTGGAGACTGGGATCACAATTCCAGCACACCCCCACCATGGAAGTGCAGGATTGTGCTCCAGTGCCTGGGGCAGCTCTGCAGGAGCTCTCTGGAGCCACAGAATCCAGCAGGGCTCATGGAGGACTTTAAAGGAGCAGCGCTGAACTCCTTCAGATCATTTCTGGTATCAAACCCAGAGGGTGAAGTAGGAAGGGGAGGCCTCCTAAGTTGAACACTTTGCATGGGAGGAAGCCACCATTTCTGGGACTGTTTCTTTGGCATCATTGGGATTGTTGAAATATTGACCTCAGGGGGTTTGTCAGGATTTGAGTCCCAAAGAAGGGGGGGAAAACCCAACAGAAAAATAATGTCAGTGTCTGCAGAGGCTTGGTGAGATCTGCTGAGCAGTTTGCAATGGTAGTGGGAATATAACAGTGATAATAATAGTAATGTCATAGTGAGAATTGCAGTAGTGGAACAGTAATAATAATAATTAATAATAGTGATGTACATGGAGTACACGTGGGGAGATTTCACTGGAGAAACATCCTTGTCCTGCCTGCAGAGCAGCCTGAGCATGGGCTGTGGGACAGTCTGGAGGGGCTCCTGGGAGCACCCTGCTGCTCACTGTACATGTAACACCTGTCAATCTGTCCTAGGAACAGCTCCCTCCCCCCGGGGACCACGAGGTGAAGGTGCAGGTGAGGGCCTGTGCCCTGAGCTGCCTGGACACAAAGGTATTTATTTCCCTGGGCTCTGAGGGAAGCTGGGGGTGTTTGTGTTCTGCTGGGCCGTGGCTGGGGGCTGTCCCAGGTCCCTCTGTGCCCCTGGGGCTGTGGAGAGGCCCAGCAGTGATGATGGGGGGCTCTGCATGTCCCCACATCCAACACACCCGTAACTGGCCCTGGTCATGGACACGGATCCACTGGCACGTGGGAGCTCTCCTGCAGCAACCCCTTTGTCTCCCCTGCACTCCCGAGGCCAGGTTGCCTTGCCTGGTAATACCTCTGGGGTTTTATTGTTTAAATGCTTCTAAATTCAATACAGAAGATGAGTGCCAAAGCTTAATGTGAATTGAGGAAAGCAGGTCCTTTTTTTCCCTGGATAACCTTCTGGGAATGGCCCAACCTCCTTCCTGGGGTGGCCAAACACTGTGAGATGATAATGAATATGCACATTTAGAGCCTCAGCAAGTGTTGTAACCACTGTTTTAATTTAGCTTCTGTCAGAAATTAAACTGAAGAAGGAACTTGTACCTGTGGGGCGAGAGATTTCGGGAGTGGTGCTGGAAGGTGAGTCAGTGGCATTGTCTGGGCAGGGGAGCAGGAATGGGATCTGGCCATCCAGAACAAATAAATCCTGTCTGTCCAGGACACCTTTATGGCAGGGGGTTCTCTCACAGTGCATCTGCTGCCCTGGGGATCCACCTGGGGCTGGAGTTCCAGCCTGGCTGTCTCAGACTGCCGCCGTGTCCCTGCCTGGGACTGGCTGTGGATGAGGTGCCAAAGTTCAGGGAATTTGGGGGTAGGGGAGGTGTAATCAATAAATGATTTATTTCCCCTGGCAGTGTGTATTTTCAGTTCTGTGAGCCAGTGAGAAGCAGAGCTTTCAAGTTTGCGTTCCATCTCACAGTAAACATTTCTCTCCTTCCCTCCTTTCCCCCTCCCGGTGAGTTGGGAGCAAGGTGACCTTTTTCCAGCCCGAAGATGAAGTGGTGGGTAAGTCAATGCCTGTTGGCCTCATCAGCTGACTCTACCAGACTTCTTTTCACAGTGACTGGCTGAGGTTATCAGAGTTGTTAGAGCTAAATCTGGCACGTGTTTTCTAAGATTGAACTGGTGTCACGTGAATATAAACTCTTCCAAATGAGAATTCAAACTAGGATTAACTAATTAATTGTATTAACCACCAAAATGTGAATGGGGCCTTAGGAGAGAGGAGATGTCTCTTAGGGACGCTCTTTCAGACCCGTCTGTATTTGGTGTGCTAAATTAAAGGATTAGGACAGAATGGACAGTAAGAATGTGTGTTTGGGGATTGTGGCCCTTCCTGCTTCATTTCCTCATGGCACAGGAACTGCTGTGGGCAGCTCCTGTAGACTGATAATTCCATGGATGAGCCCTGGGGATAGCTGCAGGTGTGTACAAGCACTGTAGGGTGGCCATGTTTACTGGGAATTAGGAAAGGCTGGAAGTAGCAGCCAAATTTGCTGAGGGCTTAAAGTCTCAGTGGAGTTTAAGATTTGGAGAAGGAGAGAATGGTTTTCCCTGGGGTGGAGGGGACATTCATTGAGGAGATTGATTGGATGCCAGAATTTCCTGTTCCTGGTCCCTCCTCTGGGGGCTGGGAACACTCAGTGTGAAATGAGTTCAGACATCACTGACAAGAAGTGAGTGTGCCAGGAGCAAAGCCCACTCACTGGTGTCCCAGTCCCTGTGTCCCCAAGCCCAAAATGCAGTTTGAGGCTCCTGTGGAGCTGCCTGGAGCCCCTGGGCACCGCAGGGGCCAGGTTTTCTTGCCTGTCACAAACGTGCCAAGAGGTGACTGAAGCCCCACCAAGGGGGCCCAGGGGTTTCTTCGGGAGCTGGTCTGGTTAGAACTGATGCTGGTGTGAAATCCAACGTCTGTGTTCCTTTCCCTTCAGGAATTTTGCCTCTGGATTCTGAGGAGTCTGGTCTCTGTGAAGTTATCCTGGTTCACGAGCATTATTTGGGTATGTAGGTCGTATATCTTGCTACTCTATATTTACTGTATCTTCAGACTTTGGTTTAGCTTTTCTAACAGGGACCTCATTACCCTGGACCTCTGGGCACCCTCCTTCCATTCCAACATTCCAGCATTCCAGCTCTTCCACCTGGTCACAGAGGTTTGAACCCTCAGTGTTCCCAAGGGCTTTTTCTTTGCTGTTTAAGGGTTCATGTTTGGCCCAAATCACACAAGTTGACTTTGGTTTTTTCCTTTTTCTTTTTTTTCCCCCCTCTAACTTCCCTTTTCTTTGCTGCATTGTTGTTACACTTTTTCCCCACCTCATCTGTCACAAAATTTACTGAGGAGAAATTTACTTTTCCTCACTTTGACTCAATCCATGAACATCACAGATTAACAGATGGGATGAAACAAACAGTCTAGAAGCTGGAGAAAGGAATTTTCAGGGAATGAGGATTAGGGAAAGCCTGGTATGGAAACATTCCCTTCAATTATTGTGAATTTCCAGCTTTCCCTTTCTGTGCATAATTTGCTTTAATGAGTAGGAGACTAAATTTGGGAGTGTCTGTGCTTCTCCCCACAGTTTGTTATTGAGCAAACTGCTCTTCTGCTCAGATTTTGTTCTGCCCAGAGAAGCTGTGGCTGCCCCTGGATCCCTGGAAGTGTCCCAGGCCAGGTTGGACGGGGCTTGGAGCACCCTGGGCTGGTGGAAGGTGTCCCTGCCCATGGCAGGGGTGGGATGGATGATCTTCAAGGTCTCTCCCACCCCAAACCACTCTGGGACTCTGGGACTGTAAATCAGTTTGCACTGTGTTTCTGTGGGTGCCCATGAATTCCAGCTGTGTAGTTAAGAGGTGACCCCTTTAAACTTGGTTATACTAAAATCAAACCCCTGCTTTTGCTGTGTAAAATACGGTAAAACATTCTCTTCTTGGTGTTTTTTTTCTTATATGAGTGAGAAACAGGTGTTGTTGCCGCTGAGCTGTTTGCAGATGGAGCCCTGCTGTGGCAGGCAGGGTTGTTTGTGGTAGTTGTGTGTGTGTTGTGACTGTTTGTTTGTGTGTTCCCCCAGTGCAGAAGCCAGAGAAGGTGTGCTGGGCTGCAGCGGCCGGGACGGTGCGGGACGGGCTCCGGGCATACACGGCCCTGCACTACCTGGCCCAGGCGGCTCCCGGGGCAACGGTGCTCGTGCTGGACGCAGCCAGTGTAGGTACCCGCTGGCAGGGGCTGCAGGGGCACCACAGCCTGTGCCCTGAGCAGGGACTGACTGAGCACCGAGCTCAGCACTGTGGGCAGCTGCCCTTCCCCAGGCTGCTGGCACTGCCCTGAACCGAATGGATCCATGGCATTCCCACGGCAGAGCCGGAGCCAGGAACGCTGTCCTGCCTGTTGGGTGGGGAGGGTGTTTGCTGTTGTACAGTGACACAGTTTCACCCTGAGCCCTCAGACATAACTTCAGGAAAATGCCTTATTTTTTATTCCTTTCCCACCTCTGCTTTTTAACTTTCCCTGGGTATGAATAATTTGATCTGCATCCCTGCAATCCTTATTGCTAATGGAGATGTGGAGCTTCCTCAGCCAAGGTCCTGGAATGGAGACACGGCTGGGGCTTTTCCTTGGAGCGTTTCTTCCTCCAGCAGGTCCCCAAGCTCCGAGTTCCAGTTGCAGGGAAGGTGGTTGTGGTAATTAAAGTAGAATCCGAGCTATTTTGCTGAAGAGGAGAACCAGTTAATGATTAAAAGTTTGCTCAGAGCTTCCCAGTCACTGAAAATATGTTTTTTGGCCTCACTTAGGGCAGAATCTGTGAATGTTCAATTCTTGGTTCAGCTGTGTTTTTATTGCAGGAGTAAGTTCATTTCTGGATACTCCCCTGACTTCTCCTGAATGTGATCTCATTGCTCTTAAAGGGCATCCAATTGTTGCTGTAGGTAAATAAATGAATGAATTAGTAAATTAATCTGCTTTTCCCCTCTGCAGCCGTTCGGCACCATCGCCGTTCAGTTGGCCCAGCACAGAGGGGCCAAAGTCATCTGCACTGCCCACAGCCTGGAGGACAAGCAGTTCCTGGAGAGGCTCAGGCCTCCTGTGGGTAAGTTTGATCCTTCAGTTTATCTTAAAGAATGTCTCAAAATAGTTTTTTCAGTCTTATTTCAGTAGAGACTTATTTCAGTAGCTGAAAACTGAAATACAAATTGGTTAATAGTGTAATTAAATAGTTCTCAAATCCCTTCTGTACTCCATAGGTGTTTAATTTCTGGTTTAGGTGTATTTTGTGGCATTTTTGTTCTCCATTTAAGTTGTAATGGCTGTCAGGGCTTTCTTGCAGTGCTCCAGTGCTGTTTCTTGGCCAAATGCTGAGGAGGGCTTTTCATCTGATACAATGGTTGCTGTGAGCACAAGGAAGGGTTCCTAACTGAGCAAGATCCCAGTGTGGGATCCAGGTCCCTGAGCCAGAGGTCAGGTGTGACCACAGACCTGACATCCAGCGTTCCTCAGCCCCAGCTGACTCCAGGAGGACCTTCCAGGCTGTGCTGAGCTCAGGCTGAGGTGCTGTCACACCCAGAGCTGGGCACTCCAGGCTCTGCCTTTTCCTCCTTTCTAAAGGAGCTTGGCCTTACACACACTCCTTGTGTTATTGCCTGACTTCTTCCCTTTGATACCTCAGTTTTGGGATAAGTAATGGTGCCACCTGGACTAGGGGAAAATACTCCATGTAGGAGCTCCTGGAGTCTCTTCTGATCAAATTTGTTCTTCTTTCCATGTTGCATTGTGGAGGAAGGTGGAATATGTCTTTGCTCAGACAGTTTTAAAGGGCAGGAGGGCACTACCAGGTGTGATTGGGTTGCAGGGCAGTGAAAGGACGATAGAACTGGTGCCCTTTCCTCCTCCAAATACGGGTGCTGCTGTTCAATCACCGTGTTTAGTTGTCAGTGGGTGATTCTGGTTGGCATCCAGAGAAGTTTGCAGAAAAGCAGCTGCACAAAGTGCCTCGTGTAGCCACTTATCAAAAGTGCATCAGCCCAAACCCGCAGGTGAGGGTGAGATCTGATTACCAGGTGAGTTCAGTCCCGCTGCTCTCCCCCCTCTGTCACTGTCAGCAGTCCTGGCTTCCCAAGCAGAGAACTGGAGCAGTGTTCCCGAGGTTCTGTGGTTCCCAGTGCCTACCCAGCTCGGGCACTGGTGCTCTGCAGGTGCACAGGGCACTGGCTCGGGGACACTGTGTGAGCACAGGGCTCAAAGGAGCTGGAGCTGCTCCTCAGACACGGAGTTCCTGCCAAATTCCATGGCCTCCCGGAGCACAGACGGCCCAGTGTGCCCTCCACACATCTGCAGGGCTGGGGGGAGTTTCCAGGGAGCTCTTCCAGAGGCTCTGGAGGCTCAGAAAGCTGCAGGAAGCAGAGCCTGGTGTTACACAAGAGCATTTCTGCTGCCTGACCTGAATGATCCTCCACAGGGAACTGCAAAGCTTTTTGTTGGGAATGCAGGACCTGGCAGACTCTTTTCTCTGGAGTTTTTATTTATATTACCTCTATTTTTTTGCAACTTGCCAAAAAAGCCCTATTTTTCCTTGTTCCAGAAGCCTCTTTTACTGTACTCATAGACATGGCAGACATCAGAACTGAAGGATTTTTGGGAATGCTGAGTGGGAATGCAGAGGTTTGTTGCACCAGGGTCAAAGACAAAACACCCAGATTTTCCCTTTGCAATATTTTATGGGTATATTTTGCTAATGATATGAAAAATTCATGAGCTAAGGAAGGACTTGGCAATTTTATTCTCCCAGCCCTGCCAGCACATTCCAGTCTGACTCTGGCAGAGCTGCTTTTTACAGCAGTTTTGAGTTCAGATGAAGTTCAAGAGTTTTAAGTTTTCATGTTAATATCAAATAAAGGCTCTAAGTGGCTCCTCACGTCTGTGGGTGGAAATTTTTCAGTTTTGTGCTCGTTTAGAGGGGTTTTTGGGGAGTTTTTAGCAAGAGTCTCTCGGTTTTCTGTGAGCAGCAGTTTGTGTTGGGCATAACAAGCTGCTCCATGGAATGGTTGGGGGGGAGGAAATGATAATTGCAACTTCAAATAAAGAAACAGAACTTGGGTACAGCTTTAAAGAGAGAAACAGTTTTGAGTGTGAAAGGAAAAAGCCTCAGGGTTTGTGTTTGGGCTTTTGGGGTTTGTTTTTAATAAATCTGATCCCTGTGCCTGAAGTAGAAGTTCCTGGTAATGTTTAAGGATTTGTATTTAGACCAACAGGATGGGGCTTTTATGTCTGCAGGAATTATAATGATAGGATGAAGGAGGGGATTATAAGTATAAAATTTTGACATTTTAATGCCCTGTGTTTGAGGCTCGAGACAGAATATTCCATTAATAATGTGATGAGTTCCTTTTAGAAACACAAGAAAAGAAGAATCTATACAAACACAGATATTTCTTCTGTCCCCTGGGGTACCCTATTCTTTTTTTTTCAGTTTGGTTTGTGTGATTTTTTTTTTCTGTAACACCAACTTTGAGTTTTCAGGGAGGCCTTTCTGGCTCCCCTGAGCACGGTCAGTAAACCCCCAGCACATGCTTTGGGTGACAGCTTTTAAACTTTGCAGTTTTTATACTTTGTCAAATTGCTGTGATAAGAAAAACCTTTCAAGAAACTGAGAAGGATATTAGGGGGGTTTGTTTGTACATGGGGAGGGGGTGAGTCCAGCCCCAGGTGAGGCCACTGCCCTCTGCAATGTTCATGTGATGCTTTTCCATTCTCAGCTGGGTGAGAAGGCTTTGGCCTGTTGAGTTTCTAAATGTTTGTTCTGCCCCATAATGATGGAGCAGCACTAAAATCTGTACCTGCTCCTTCTCTGGGAGCTTGGAGCAACCTGGTCACGGGATGATCTTGGAGGTCCCTTCCAACCCAAACCATTCCACGATTGTTTCGTTCCTGGTTCTGTGGTTTATCTTTATAACCCACCCTGAACATGGCATCACAGACAAATAAGAAAATGCATTAGTGACTTCTAGTTCAGAAACAGATCAGGAGCAGAGGTAAATACCTTCATCTAAATGTTTAATTAATGACCTGGACAGTCATTTCCAGGTTAAAACCAGCAGGCAGCCAAGGAATGTAAGTTCATCCCTGGTGTGAGGACGGTTCTGTAGGGAAAGGGAAGCTGTGCTGGGGGAGCTCCCCAAAGCTTTGCTGCTGTGGTTGTTTCAGAGATAATGTGAAATAAAAAACCTCTTATCTTTTGGCCACTCTTGGCTTCAGTAACACAGGTGGGCACTCCAGGACTTGGTAGTTTTGAAGGGACAAGAAGAATAGCAAAGAATGAACTTACAGAAGGATTTCTGGCTCCTTCCTGGAGTACCACGTGTTGTCCTTTTGGGCCCAGCAGATTTGGGAGTCTGACTCTTCATTCCTGGTTTTGGTGTGGGGTTTGCACTGTGTTGCAGAAAGGGAAAAGAACCATGAGCCGGGGGTTTGACTTTTTTTTTTTTTTTACCTAACCATGAGCTGGTTCCTTGGAGAGCCCAGAAGGCTCCAGTTGGAGTGTGAATGTAGACTCTGCATTTTCCCTGGAGTCACCCCCGTGTCCCCTTTCCAGCTCGGGTGATGGACGTGTCCCATGGCAAGATGGACGTGGCCGAAAGCTGCCTGGAGGAGACGGGAGGGCTGGGAGTGGACATCGTGCTGGATGCTGGAGGTATTCCTGGAGGGAAAGCTGCTCCTCTCACCACACTGCACACTCACAACAGCCTTGTTGGCAAGGACTGGCGCTGGAAGCTGCATCGCTTCCCAGGCTGGGATCCTTTTGCTGTTCTCTGTTCCGTAGCCCTCCTTGTGTCACCCTCTAGTGGGAGCTGCTCTGAAATCTTCCCTGTTTAGAAGTGAAAAGAAAAAAAATGTGTTCAAAGGCTAGAGCTGTGACATCACTGGGTTTGCTGCCTTGTTGTAATACAAAAATCACCCAAAACTGCCAACACTGGCAACCTGTACTCTGAACCAACTCTAACAGTTGAAAACTCTGAAGTTACTATTCAGAGTAATAGATGACTCTGGATCAAGTATATAAAACATAAAGTATATAAAGGATACAAAATATTCAGATTATAAATAAATAATTTTCAACTATTTTTAGCTGAAATAACTGAAGAACTGCTTAGACTTCCGTTGAAATGTGTGGAAATAGATATGTATTGGATTTGCTAAATTTTCCTTTGCTGAGCTCACGTGAATTTTTTCTTCCTCCCCAGTGAAATTATATAGTGCTGAAGATGAATCAGCTTCAAAATCCCAGCTGCTGCCTCACAAGCACGACATCATCACTCTGCTTGCGGTTGGGGGACACTGGATAACCACAGAGAAAAACCTTCAGGTAAAGGCACCTGTGGCAGCAAGTGGCTTGTACACAGAATATATGGATATATATACAGACAACTCTCACTTGAACCTGTAAATATTACCAGTTTGCTCAGTTTTAAGAATGGGCAAGGGATGGGGTTTTGTTTGTTTTAACCATCTGTATAAATAACGGTTTAACCTTTACTTTTGTACAGGAAAATGTAACTAAATAACATTTCTCCTCCATTTGCTTAAGCTGGATCCTCCAGACAGCCATTCCTTGTTCCTCAAAGGAGCCACGGTGTCCTTCCTGAACGATGAGATCTGGAACTTGTCCAATGTGCAGCAGGGGAAGTACCTCGATATCCTTTCGGTGGGCATTTGGAATTCTGGCCTTGAAAATGTCTGTACAAGCTCTGCTGCAATAGAAAACACCTTTTCGGGGGAAAAAAAAAAAAAAGGCAATATTTTGGTTCAAGATTGAAGCAATTAATTGAAGATTTAATTCTATAAGTTTTTTATGTAATGCAAGTGAAGCTTTGGAATGATTTGTGATGTTCTTTTTGGCATCAGATGCATCATCTGTGAACTTAATGCAGTCAGGTTCACTGCAGAAGGGCAAATATTTGGGCCTCTTACCATTCCCTTATTTGCAACGTGCATAAAGTACTTATTTGTTATGTACCCAGAGTGTATGGAGGGAAGGTGGGAAAAGGAATGCCTTCTAAATTTGGGCTGGAGCAGCTGGACTGAGCTCCCTGAGCATCCCATTTCCCACCCTGGAAGGTTGGTGTGGTTTGGGATTTAAGGACCCCTGTGTCTTGTGAAATTCTTGAGCACCTGGCATTAATGTCTGAAGAAATCACAAGCTGATGGCTTTTTAAAGGAGTTTCAAATAACAACCAGATTGGTCTTAAAATGAGGGATGAACCTTATTTTTTGGATTTCCTATAAAGCCTAAATACAGCCCCATCTGTTGTGCTGTCCTGGATGTTACTCATCAACTCGCAGATGGCAGCTCTGCTCCAAGAATTCCCAGGCTCTCCTATGCTCCTAGTTTTATTTTGATTTATTTTGGGTGCCTGTATGAATAGTCAGGGCAGTTCCCTGGTCCCAGAGTCTGTCCTCTTCATCCTGCACGGAAAATGCCACTGATTAATTGATTAATAATTGATTAGTATTGTACTAGTGCAGGCTGCACTTGTATTTCATATGGAATATTTTTGTATTTCATGTTGAAATTCATATTGAAGAAATTGAAATATTCTATTTTTCATTTCTTCACCCTATTGCAGGAAAAGTTTCTGATACAGAAACAAGTGCAAAAATCTGATCTAAAGATTGGCATTGAGATTCATTTTCCTTTTGCCTGGATCCTGCTGGGCTTGTGTCAGTGCAGGGCTCTGACCAGCAAACATGATTATTTAGGGATTTCTCTCCAGCTGTGTTGCTCCTTGACAGTCCTCTTGGATACCCATCCTGGAAGATGTCATGGAGAAGTTATCAAGTGGTGTTTTCAGGTGAGACATCTTGGGGGTTGTGTTTTTTTTTTACTTCAGCATTAGAAGCAGAAAACTCTTGCCAGCACTAACACTCCAAGAAGAGCTTCAGGAGAGAGACACTCCTGGAATAAGGTGGGATCCCTTCCCTCAAAGCAGGATAACTGTTGCTGTTGAGCAAAACCCTCACCACCACCCCTTTTGTTCCCCCCTCTAAGGATACACTTTCATTAAATTCTGTTTGCTCTTAGGGCTTTTCCCTCCTTCTGTGCACTCAGGCAAAGCTGTAGAACTTTTCCCTTGTTTAAGGAGTGAGGTTTACACAGTGAAAGTAAAGTCTGTCCTGTGATATCCCCATTGATCTGAGTGTGCTCAGCACGCACTTTCCCTCTTCCACTTTAGGCCTCAGCTGGATGAACCCATCCCACTGTACGAGGCCAAGGTTTCTATGGAAATTGTTCAGAAGAATCAAGCCAGAAAAAGACAAGTCATCCAGTTCTGACAGGCAGTCTCCTGATTTCGGAGCCCGAGGGAGACAAAGAAACGTAATATATTTGTGGAGTGAATCAGTGTACACTTTCAGACAGTTCTGTAACCAGAATTTAAACATCCTTTGTACCTCAGCACAAATGGTCTCGAAGCTCCTGCGACTTCAGGGGTTTTTAATCCACATGAGCAGAATGTTCCCATCAGCAGCTTCCACAGAAGCAGCCTTGACCTGCAGATCTTGTCTGCACAGATCTCGTCTGCCCTGCCCCAGTTACAAACATCAGTAACATCTACAGGCAAAACCAGTTGCTGTTGGTTTTCAAC